AGTAAGAGAAATAAACGAAGAAGTCTACCAGAAGTTCATAGAGAGTAAATTACAGTTATAAAATAGAGCGGTTGTAAATTGAGAGGGAGTAAAAGAGTTCTAGCAAGTATAGAGAGCGTTAATTACACTAACAAAGCTACGAGATTAAACAAATCTAATAGAAATGTTAAAACAATTATAAACACATACCCGTTTACTGGGAGATCTATTTAAAATTTCTAACACAGATATTAAGTTAAGCTTTGTAAATAAATAAACACAAAACACTCGCACAAAATCTCTGAAAAAATACAAAAACTCAGAGCACAAAGGTAAACATAACTGTTCACAAGCGACGCTAAATCGTTATCTTTGTCACTATGGGCCCAATTACCATATGTAGTCCTTATTGGGGTAACGGTTTCAACTGGTGTGCTTAGTGTGGAATGAGCTCTCTACAGGTGGTACATTGAGCTGGTTGGAGATAGTTGCTCTTCATAGAGCCGTTGTATTTTGTCCTCTTTGCGAAAGGCGATTTAAGGGGGTCTTCTAGTCTAGAGGCTCGAATATCGACCTTTTTTTAACAATTAATAAAAAAAAAACAATAGATATTTTTAGTATCCGTTTTTTTATCATTTGTTTATTAAACTTAAAGGAGTACATAAAATAAATTTGCAAAAAAAAAAATTACTTTTCATTGAGTTATTCCTTCTTAAAGAAGAGGGGAAAAAAAAGAGGCCGTGTCCGCGTCGCCATGATATCTATGCTTGTAGTTATCTGAAAAATAAAACAATGAATGTCGCTATGGCATGAACCACCAAAAAGAAAATATCTTTTTTTTTTCATGAAATGGCGGCTAGTCAAAGAAAAAAGTCAATTTTTTCACTAATTTTTCCACCTTGTCAAATTTTTAAAAATATTATAAATTTAAAATTTTTATTTTTTGTTGGTTCATGCGATAGCGATATATTTAAAGAATATTCATGCCAAATTTCAAGTAAATCGACTGATTAGAACTTGAGTTAGAGTGGCGACCGCATCAAAAAAAGTAGTTTCGAGAAAAACGCGTTTAAAGTTCCAGTCGTTCCCTCAACTGGTCTAGTTGCCACGTCACTAAAACGGCTATAGCTTTCAAAATAATTTGAGTTTTGAAAAATCCTTTTAGGGAGATATTTTTGATCAAAACAAACTACAGAATTATGAAAAAATTTTTTTTTCGATTTTCTCAAATTTCTAGACTAGAAGACCCCCTTAAGTAACTGCCAATCTCTTCGTGATCGGCGCTTTTCCTGGACCAGCCTCTCGATTTGTGCATTTGTGTATCTTTGATTGTAGGTTGAGATTCTTCTTTGGGGTGTTGATACTCGAGCCGCTGATACCAAAACGGACTCGAGTGTGTTGGTGAAGCTGTTTATGTCTTCTACGTTGGTTAGCCTCGGGTTTAGCTCAATGTGCGTGCTAACGAACTTTTTAAATTTGAGCCAGTTCGTTCTGTTTGATGTTATTTTGGAAGGATTGTCTTTGGTTTCTGACCGCTGGTGTAGACTAAGAAGCACAGGCCAGTGGTCCGATGATAGGTCTGACAATGAACTGGCGCTGATCAGAGTGCGTGGGATATTTTTCGTAACTGCGAAGTCAATTAAGTCTAGTATGTGGGTGAAGCAGGTGAAACTCAGTCTAGCCTATTGCTATTCTTTATAATGGCGTAATAAAATTGCCTTCCTTTTGGGGTCACAAGGCGAGATCCCCAGTGCGTGTCCTTGGCGTTATAGTCTCCTGCTGCTATGAAGTGCTTGCCTAGTGTGTTGAAGTAGTCCATAAACTGTGCTTCGGTTATTGTAAAGCCGCTGGAGTTATATTTTGACCATCCGTTTGTAGATTTATAGAAGTGGCTTGCAAATGGTGGAAGTGATGCTGTATGCGGTTTCTAATTAAAATTCAGGTGCCTCCACGTGCTTTTTCGTCAGTATGACTTGTACTGTAGAATAAGTACGCACAGATTTGGAAATGGTATTTGTTTGTAAGGTGTGTTTCATAAAGGATCATGACGTCGATTTCGTTATCATTTATGAATTGAGCTACCTCAAGTTTGTGCCGTGGAACGCCGTTACCATTTCCTGCTATACGCAGGGAAGCCATTGATTATTTTGATAAGGTGGTTTGAAGCAACTGAATCAAGATATCTTGATTTCTCATCAGACTTTGCATGATCGTCTCCATAATTTCATAAAAAGATGACTTCATGGGGTAGATTTCGAAGGTATCAATGGTGCTGTTTGGGACCGAGATGTAGACACTTTGTGTTGGATCCGGCTTTTCAGCTCCTTGTAAACCGGACAACCTCTATAGTTTTCCGTGTGGTTACCTCCACAATTTCCACATTTCTTGTTACGGGGCCTTTTTTGTTTAATTTGCATTCCGCAGAGCCATGGAGCTCGCCACAAGCTACACATACGGGGCGAAGCATGCAGTAAGATTTCGTGTGTCCAAATTCTTGGCAATTGGTTCATTGTACCGGGCCATTGCGCTTATGCGGCTCCTCAACAGAGACTCTGCGATAAGGTAAGTACTGGAGCTTGTAGATGGGATGCACTTCATTCCTTTTCAAAGCTTTAAGCGCTGGTATCAGTTCCACTTTGAATAAGGGTTGAGGGCGTCGATTTCTATTAATTATGTTGGTAACAGTTTTTTCTTCAAATCCGTTCTCCTTAAGTGCATCAGCTACTTCTGTTGGTTGTACTTTTGCTTCAATGCCCTTAATTACTACTTGTTGGCCTTTGCTAGTTCTTTTTGTTGTCATCTGTTTAGGTATTTAGTCAGAATTCTGAACTTATCTTCGTGTTTGACTCGGACTTTAGTATCATCAATATTGACTTTTGTTAAGGGAATAACGTGGAAATTATCATTCCCTAAAAGTTCCAATATAGAATTCTCGAGAGAGTTTTACAAATTGGAGGCGGCTTTGGCTTTCTTTTCTCCGATTCAGTTTCTGTATTGGGCAGGACATTGTACTGGTCCTCCAGAATTGCAAATCTATTCTCGCTGCTGGTGTTTTCCACCGTAGGTTGCTTGGAGGCAACACGGTTAAGCTTTGTCGTATTGCCCGACTCAGCATTCTGTGGTCTTAATTTCCGTTTAATTTGAATGTAGCGGTCCATTGTTGCGGTTGCAGTGAGGTTACTGTGCTAGTAACCGTAGCCAAGCAAATAGGTAATTGATGTGGGGAAAGGTGTGTCGCAGAGGAAGCGGATTTATCGCTTACCATGCTTTGAGTCGTAGGGGGGAACGCGAGAGGGGGAACGAGAGAGGGGGAACGCGATCTGTCGTTCACTATTGGCTTGAGTTCAGCGAACGGGATTGGGGTTAATTTTGGAGGAATTCGATTCAGCGTTAGTGTATTTTGTTGATAGAAATGATAAGTAAGCGTTGCTTCGCTGTAAAGAGAGCCGACGCTCGTCTTGCTCGCGTTGACGTTTTGACTGTACTTAATGTAAGTTTGTCTTTGATTTGTGTTTTTTTTCTTGAGGTCAAATTGTGGTCAATCTGTGGTCACGAAAACACGTCTACTCGTAACGATGGTCAAATTGTCAATCCTTGTCTTTTTTGAAAAATCTATTTCTAAAATTCGCCGTGTTACCTCCGGTGTCCCACAAGGGAGCAATCGTGGTCCGCTTCTTTTTACATTATTTATTAACGATGTACGCAGATGATGTTAAATTATGTCTGCAATATACATTGTATATACATATACATTTCCCGCCATTTTAACTTACAATCCGATTTAGAGAATTTCGCCGAGATAATTTACTAAATTTAAATGGGTTTCTTGCTTTACGGCGCCTAAACTGGGATGCAAATCTTATCTTACCTTCTTATTTTAGTAGACTACTGTTGATTAATTTACTCTCCTTAGCCAACCATAGAATGATGCTTGGTACTGTCTTCATTTATAACCTTATTCATGGTGAGATTGACAGAACCGACTTGGTAAGTTGGCTCTTCTTTTCTGTGCCAAGTAGATTAACAAGAAATTATATTTCCCTAATATTAAATCATTGTAGATGACTTGCATGAGCCTTTCAGAGTATTATGTTCTGACGATAATAGACTATTTTCCTATAATCTCAAATCTTGATTCGGATCCTCTTAAAACGATTAATACTTACTTCATTAGCACAAAATTGATTTTACTTTTTTCCCCGGACTTTACTTTCACATCTCTACGATATACGGCTGCGCCCCTTACTCTACAGTGATTCAAAAGATGTGAAATATAGTGTCTAGTAATTCTATTAGGCACAAATAAGTGTAGACGACCAAGTAACTCTCGACTCTCCATAGCCGGTTGGATATGGTGCAGTTGGAACCGGTTGCCCGTGATTTCTCTTCTGAACTCTGATTATACCCGTTACTCGTAGAGTAAAAGGGTATATTGTATTCGTGCAAAAGTATGTAACAGCTAGAAGGAAGCGTTTCCGACCCTATAAAGTATATATATTCTTGATCAGGGTCACTAGCCGAGTCGATATAGCCATGTCCGTCTGTCCGTCTGTCCGTCTGTCTGTCTGTCTGTCCGTATGAACGCTGAAATCTCGGAAACTATAAAAGCTAGAAGATTGGCATTTTGCATGCAGATTCTAGGAGTTCCTACGCAGCGCAAGTTTGTTTCAAAAAGGTGCCACGCCCCCTTTAACGCCCACAATCGCTTATATACGATTTTAAAAATTTAAATATTTCGGAAAAGTAAAAATGCAGTTTTATTGTGTTTATCAATACCTATCGAAATTTTTCAAATCGGACCATTCGTTAAAAAGTTATGCGTGATCAAAGTTTCTATCTCCATCTCCCTCGCACTCCCTTTACCTGAGTAATGGGTATCTAAAAGTCGGGGCACCCGACTATAGCGTTCTCTCTTGTTTTTAGTTGAAATCTATCAATTTATTAAATTAATTATTTTTGCATTATATAATATATTAAGTATTTAAAACTTTTTATTTAATTAACACTTTGTAATTTTTTAGATGGGGTCGCGGCCATCCTGAGGAGTACACAGATGCCATGAACTTGGGCGAAGAACGTTTTGATTCAATCGATTCTGATAAGAAACCGAGAGCTGGACAAATTCTCTGGATTCGTGGACTTACTCGCTTGCAAACTCAAGTAAGTGTCATATCCTAATAAACTGTTACATAAAATGAAAAAATACAACTGAACTATCTGATTACGAAAAAGAGGATCAAAATTATTTTTTGTTTACCTCATGATTTTTTTTTATTTTTTAAAGTTTTTTTCTTTTATTTATATTTATATACATTAATCACAATTGTTACATTACATGGGTATTTTATATGATATCTGACTCACATTTCACACAAATATCTTGTTATATTTTAATTTTTTTAGACACTGACGAAACTTACAAGAATATGTCTTTGTTTTAGTTTTAAGGTCGATTTTTTCGAAAAATGTCATAAAGGTATAAAAATGCGACTTCCAATTAATAATTCCAATAATTTAAATATCTGTGATATAGAAAATTTAAATTTCAGACATGTAGATGCAACCAACTAATCGACCTAATTATTATAAAAATATCGGGAATTATATGAGTATTTTTGTGTTCAAGACCATCAACTTTAAATTTTAATTTGTTTTTATATTTCTTATACGAATTGAAAATGTTATATTTGTGTTTTCCATCGGTAAATTCACTACCAAATACAGTACCGTTTCGTAAATTTGTCATGTTATAGTATTCCCAAAAATAATTTTGTTCTATATATCTTAAAAACATAAATATATTTATGTGCATATATATATATATATATGTATAATACATAAATAAATATTTAGGCATGGAAGATTTTTTAAGAGAACACAATATTCGGCAACCCGAAGCTGTTATTTTTGCGACTCTATTGAATTAAAAGTAAATAAATGCGCAAATGTATGTAAATATCCTTCAAGTGAATCAGTTCAGTTAGGCAGGGATAGTAGTTGATAGTTACAGATTGATTTTGTAGATTGATTTTATAAATAAAACTAGACAAGTTCGGTGTGAAGCCACAGCTTGTATTGCTCATCATCTGTCTTTTTTGATCTTCCAATTTATCTTGCTCCATCTGTCTTTCTCTATCTTTTTCGTCTGTATCGTATTTCTACAGTCATTTTACTGTTCAAGTGTGATTACAAATTCGGGACTAATTCGTTTTTAAGATTAATAAGAGATAAATAACTTAAATATGGTTTCCCGAGAATAAAAACATTTAGACTGTTTTTTTATGTTGTAGTATTATCTTTAATCGATTCTTGAAATTCATAAAAACTACGAAATATCTATGTAAGACTTCATCTACTTATACACATTTTCTATTAATTGACACCAGCACTTTTGTACACTTTACATAGCTTAGCTTTGATTGAAAGATTACTAAAAATAAATATGTCGATCTCTGACCTGAACAACCTAGCTAACGTTATTTTTTAATAACTTCCATGTCTCACCCTAGCATACAATTAATCGATATAAAATGATATTGTAATACTTATTTTTGTATATTTTCTTTACTTTTTATTGCTACCAAAATTAAACTTAGCTTTGATTACCATATGCATGATACTTTTCCGTAAAAAAGGGAAAAGTGCGCCTCTCATTTATTTCATTTTTCGGAATACCGAAGGGTGCATTTTTAGGCATTTTGCCAAATTTTTAATTTGGCTTGCCTTCATCCGTCTTTCAACTAACTAAAAATAAGTATAGGAAGGTTTTGATGTTGACTAACTAAAAAATTTCGTAAGAAAATAACGAAGATTTAAAGTAGAAAATGGTTATGGTAATAAAATTCAAAGCTAGTAAAACAAGAAGTAATATTTTAGATTAGTACTTAATTATATAATAGAAATATTCACTCTCCGATAAAATTGAAAAAACATTTTCCCCTTTTCAAATAAATACTTTTTTAATGTGTTTTGGGACCCTAAAGTTTTTAATGTGAAATAAAATATTTTCCAACCAATCACAATATAATGTATTAAGGAAATGTGAACCAGATGGGAATCACTTGTTCCCTTATGCCCCAGAAATCTTTTTCAACCAAATTGCTCAACTAAAACTTTCCGTTGGTTCTGATTAAAACATTAAAAATAAAAAGAACTGAACATTTAAAATCTACATTTTTTAATAAGGGAGGGGTTCCAAAACACATACAAAAAGTGAGTTTCGAAAAGCAGTTTTTTGATCGACCATGGTAATCATACGGATATGTTTCACAAAACGCTATAGTCAAGTGTATGAACAATAAGACACATACCCGGTACTCAATTCACCAATTTTGCATCAACTTTATGTGTATGCAATGTGTAGGATTAAAATTAATTTATTTATATATAATATAATCAACATTTATTTTGAATGCTTAATATAGAATAGTGAAATTTTATATCTTTTTTAAAAATACAAATTTAAAAAAACTTAAATACCTACAATTTAAGAAAAATCTTTTTCTGGGTTTATTATTTACTCACTACCTGGCTACGGGTACGTAGCAAAAAGTTTGCAACACAGTGGAAGAATGCCGACCCCTAGTTGAAAATATAAAGTAAACCGGAACGATCATAACTTTTATGAATAAAACTAAAAAATAATCATTATACGTGATTTGTATTTTAACAAAAACTTGGAATCAATCGTTTTTTGAGTTTTTTAAAACCTAAATCTTAGATAATGTTATCTTCATGTAATTTATATCTTTGTAAAAGGATTCTTTATTTTATATTTTTTTTTATTTTAAATATCTCAAATTTTTTTGCTTTAAAAACTCAAAAAAAGATTATGTTGTGCTTAAAGAAATTAAAATCCCATGTAGGTAACAATTTTATTTGAAATTTTCATTGAATATTTTTATAAATAAAAATCCAAAAAAAAACCACACTAATAATTTTTCCAAGCAGTTCAATAATTTCTGTTTAAATTGGATATCCCGAAAATTTTATTTTATTTCCGTGATTCGAAAATCACAAATAAATATAACAGAACTATTGGTCAAAAAATTTAAAAACTTCGTTGGTTTTGCCTAGTACAATGAGTTGAAACATTTGGACTTTGTATAAACCTTGCTGGTTAACCTTTTTGCGAAATTTAAGTCCCGGCAGCAGCGTTAGTTGCTCTGAACTGATAAAAGCCGCAGTTTCTGTTGCTTAATAACGGTTGGAATCTAGTTATTAGACATTTCAAATGATAAGGAATATGCAAATAGACAACTTTAGGACGTAACATCGGAATCATGATCGTTCGACGCGTACTTTTAAACTGAAATATTTTGCACCACCGCCCTTAACAGCTAAAATTTTCTATATTTATATTTTCCTCCAAACCAATAATTTTCTTAAAGTCTCCTAAATTAAAGATTTCGATCGGTATCACTGGATCCGATCAAACCATTTCAGCAGATTTTTATTTTTGCATGTATGTATAGTAGTCCCCTCCTCACACTCTCGAACTACGAATTATCGCTAAGTGTACAACCGTCAAAATAGATTTTTATATAAGACGTAGTTACTCCTTTGAATTCTGTTAACAAATAACGATTTTTCGTATGTCAGCTATTTGATAAACGAAATATATAAGCGACTTTATCTCTAGAAATAGGTATTTTTAATTATTTATTTTCTTTTTGGAGTTTTTACATTCATTTCCTAATAGTTTCTATTGCAACTACATAGTACAGTCCTCAGATTTTATAAAATACAAATATACCAATTCAATTCATATTTAAATATAAAAGATACGATTTTCATATATTTTGATCGGAACTGTCTTTTTATACCCTTGCAGAGGGTATTATAATTTTGGTCAAAAGTGTGCAACGCAATGAAGGAGACATCTCCGACCCTATAAAGTATATATATTCTTGATCAGGATCTCCTCCTGAGTTGATATAAGCATGACCGTCTGTCCGTCTGTCTGTTTCTACGCGAACTAGTCTCTCAGTTTTAAAGATATCGAATTGAAACTTTGCACACCCCTTGGTTCCTTTGCACGCAATATATAAGTCGTTTCTATGGTAGCTATATGATATTGTTGTCCGATTTTGACAAAACTAAAATCGTAATTATAATATAGTAAATAATTACTATATCTCAAAGGAATATTTTAATAAATAGAAAAACAGCAATGTAAAATTTAAAAAAGTTTTTTTTCTTTGGGAGCTATGTGATATATGTGTCAGATTTTAACTTAATTAAATATGGCTCGTTCCCACTTATATACTACCTGCAATAGAAAGACAACTTTTGGGAAAATTATAAGCAGAACGCTTTAAATCTGAGGGACTAGTTTGCGTAGAAACGGACGGACGGACAGATCGACTCTCCTGGTGATGCTGATCAAGAATAAATATACTTAATAGGGTCAAAATCGGACAACAATATCGTATAGCTGCCATAGAAACGTTGGCAAAATACAGCGCAAAATCGAAATGGAATCGTTTTGTAAAATCTGCAAGGGTATAAAAACTTCTGCTTGAAAAGTTTGCTTCCTGTCTTGTTTTTAATTTTTTTTTTTCATTGGTATTTGGTAATATTTAAAATCTAGGAATTACGGGTTTAATTAAATTAAAATCCCATAATCCCATAAAAAATCGAAAAATTCAAAAAAATAAAAATTAAAAAATGTATTTTGCCGGTTTTTGTATTTATCAAAATATTTCCTTGATATAAGAATTACGCTTTTAGTTTTGTCAAAATCGGACAACAATATCATATAGCAGCCATAGAAATGATGGCAAACTGCAGCGCAAAATCGACATAGCTTCATTGAATTGTGTTCGTTTTGTAATAAATGCAAGTGTATATAAGGGTTTAGAGGAAAACTCGATTTATCTAGAAAGACACAGTAAGAATGGATACTACACAAGTACACACAGTAACCGTGAACCAGCTATATGATACAGTCATCCGATACCATATATATTTTTTTCCGATTGTTCCTATGACAGCTATTTGTTATAGTCATCCGGTCTATCTTCTATATACTTTTGATTTTTTTTTTAGATAGCTTTACAATTGAAAGACTGTTTGTTTAGAAACGAACGGAAGGAAATGGATCGGAAATTTCTCGTTCACTGCGTTGCAAATTGTTGACTAAAAATTGTAAACTCTTT